TATACTAGCGGCCCGGAAATGCTAGTAGATGTAAAGGATGGGGTATCGGTCGTCCTCCCGGAAGATGGGACGTGGACGAACCTGGAACCAGCGTATCAAACGGCAATGCTGGAAGGGGAGGACGCTTTCCTTTGGATAGAAACAGTATGGACTAATGTCAGCTTGACGAGGTTGTCGCCAAGTTTAATGGATTTGGAATTCCGAGGGACAGTGGAAGCCTGGGGGTGGGTCTACTTGTCGCAAGGTGGGAAAAATGCTATGATCATAGAGTTAGCACTCGGGAATACACCGGACGAATTGTTTAGGAAGGCAGAAGCAGAGGTTGTGTGGGCTGCATGTCAGCGGACGGAAATGGAAATGGAAAGGATGGACGTACGGGTGGAACTTGGGGATAGAGGAAGCATGAGGCGACCTGTAAGAACCATGCGATGTGTGCTGCCCTCTTTCCTAGTGGATGTGGTTTTCGGAACTCGGAGGAGGCTAGTACGGATATGCCAGTCCATGACGAACCTCGGGCTATACCAATGCGCTAGGCAAAATTTCTTTCGGTTATCGGTAGAGATGGGGCCGTTCGAAGGGAACTGGGCGGACGAGCTGACCGAAATACCAAACTGCCTTAGCATAGATAATATCTTCGTCCCTAGCTCTGTGCATTGGGGGATAGTCTACAGGAATGTGGCAATAGGGGAGACGTTTCTGGATGGGGTAAGAGGGTTGTTATACAGGGAGGAGGACGACTTCAGTGATGAAGACGAAGATGAAGAGATAGAGGACTGGGACTTCTAAGAGGGGTGGGGTAACTTAACTTAGGAAGGACGGGTGGCCTGGTATTGTGCAGAAAAGGGAAAGATGACTAGAGAAGAGAGGATAATGGAATACACCTTCAAAGGTTGGGAACCACGGCGACTCAGAGGAGGAATATAAATGCATATACCAACAGGAAACGGATGGAGGGGGACCACGTGCGACTGGATTGGGTTTGAGGTTGCCCGAGACTTGTCATATGTATGGATAGAGCGGATTTGGAACCCGATAAGGGAAGAGGAAGGTTGGGATGATATAGCAGAAGGCAAGGTAGAGTCTGTCGGAACGATTGTTCTTTCCGAGGATGGGTGGCACCTGTTTTGCACTATGTTAGCAATGGGACAGAACCCGATGTGGCTTCTAGGGGACGTAGAGGCCCGAACTCGAAAAGAAGGCAAGCGGTTCGCCAACGAGGGATGGGACGAAGTTAGTAGCAGAGTTGTGATGGGAGGATGGAAGGAACTTAAGCCTCCAAGTCTACGGATAACGGTTTGGGTACCGGAGTTCATAGCCGAATGGTTTGGGGGGTTAGAGCACATTTTAGAAGTAGCCGACTCCATGAGAAAGGTGCATATAGAGTGTGTCTGGCTGACTGAGTAGTTTTATAGGCTCTCATTGAAATATGGGCCCTTCTACGGAGATAAAGCCGAGGAAATCATCATCGTCCTAAGAATAGGCAGGTATGACCGCCTAGAGGTAGAGGCGGAGTCTTGGGACGCCATAGTTAGCCAGAAGGCGGCTGCCGCACCCTCCTACGTAGACGATGTCTTTAAACTATTTGAGGTGTTGTGGTTCGACTAAATGAGGCCGAGGGATCGAACACCGCGAAAAGGCCTGAGTATGAAGGATACCTGTGAGTTGAGGTGTAACATAAGAAAGGGGGGCGTGTACATTAGGCCGTAGAAGGTGCGTGAGGGTCGAAACAAAAAAGAGGGGGTAAAATTGTATGCGTATGAGGCAGGGATAGTGCAAAAACCAGTGAACGATAAGTAGGGAGGGCCGAAAGACTAAAACACGAAAGGCATAGAATCTCGGTGGGTGCAACAATCGGACTAAGGAAGCAGGAAAGTAGGCATTTCAAGATGGTTCGACGAATGACTTTCTGGGGGCATAGACCTCGCGAGATCCTGCCACCAAGAGCATCGGAAGGCAGGGTCGAAATAAGCCTGCCGGCAAGAAATGCGGTAAGCAATCCGGTAATGACTAGGTGGGGGTAGAGTTGGTGGAAGATACAGTGTACCTAGTAATAGAATTGGAGTGGCGTACGAGAGGGGAGTTCGGGGGCGTAAATTTGAACCTCCCAGGGCATGTACATGCTACAGGATCCTTACACCTGTCGGAAGAGGGATGGCGGACCTTTGGGATTGCCTTGGCTTCTGGGGATGACCTCGTACGAATGTTCGAAGGAGCATGGCAAGTAACTTGGCGAGAGGGATTTGAGTTCGCACACCCAGAACGAGACGACGTAACGGCCAATGTAAGAGTTGCCGCAGCAGGGATCTTCGAGCTGCCCATGAGGTCGTACGAATGAGTCTACCACCCTTCCTGCTAAGACGAATGGGAGGCATAGAACGAGTGGAGCAGGCGGTGACTACCGTAACTAGGCTAAATCTTGACGAAGCATTAATGTATCGAGAATACTATCGGGCCTTCCTAGAGATGAGGCCTTCCGGGGACGAACAGGGGCGCGAAGTGCTTTGCATTCTACGAGCAGTAGTAAATACTAGGCTGGGAGTCCCACAAATAAGTGATGAGGCCATGTGGAGAGTCATCCAGCAGGAGGTAGGTTGGGGCGTGACCTACGTAGATGATCTCTACCGGTTGTATGAGCTGTCAGAGGGGGCTACTACTCCCAGGGGTATGGAAGGATAGTTGGGACTAGAAAGGAGGAATGAAAACACGAAGGACAAGGAAGGCAGTAGGTGGGCGGTTTCTGGGGATTGGCTGTAACCCTTTCTATGTGGACTATGCAGGGAAACACCCAGACAACGATGGCAGCAAGACGTGAGCGAATGGAACGCCAACCCCGTGTGCGAATGGAACGCCAGCCCCGGTACCCCGAACCGCCTTGGAATAACGGTGGACGATGGGAGGTATCCCTCCCGTCGAGTTCTACCTATCGAGGATTCGACATAGAATGGCGGGCCGTGACTTTGGGACGAGACGCCGCCTTCATGCGGGTAGAATGTCAGTGGACAGGGATGAGACTCAATCGAGGACCCGGGGACGATCTGTATTCCAATCTGGAAGTTACCGGGACCATGTCTGCCTGAGATCGGCTGACGCTCGTTGGGGGTAGAGATAGCACAAGGTCATGAGCTGGCAGCGGTCTTTCGAAGGGCCGCCCGGACGTTGATCCGGATAGGACAATCAGTCAGGGGTAGAAGGAACGTGGGCTTACTTACCCGGGTGGAAATGGGAAGTTGGAGGGAGTTTAGGGCACCGACCACACCGCTGAGATGCCGAGTGCCCCGTTTTATGATAGACCTCGTCTTCGGAAGCCTCGCAAGGGCGAGGGAGCTGGCAGACTCAGCGATAGTCTGGGCATGCCACTTTCCCTCCCCTACCATTGGGATGTTCTACGATGTCGCTATGGAGCATGGGCCGTTCTGGGGAAACAGGGTCCACGAGTTGCTGGAAGTCATCCACATCCAGATGTTTAGGGCGCCACGGCTAGACTGGGCTGCATGCAAACGCATAATCAAGAGAGAAATTGAGATAGGAGAGAGTTATTTAGCAGGGGTGGCTGAACTATTCGAGGAGCCGACCGAACAAGAAGAGCCGCGAGGGTGAGAGCGGGACTAGCATCCGCAGGCGGGTCAATAGGGCAGGTCAAGTATAGTTCGTTGCGTACGGAAGTTCGCCGATGGGAATAAGAGAGGGGCCTCGGACCCGGATGGCCAAAACCCACTAGAAAAACAAAGAAGGGGGTAGACTCCTAATGATTGACCATAACCCCGAAGGTCAAAAATAGGAAACACTGCTCGGGAAGACTTTCCCTAGCAGAATGCCTAACCCGGACTCCCTCGCATCGGCCCGACGGGACAAGGGCACTACAAACGAGCTTGTGATAAAGGAAGCCAAGTCACGCTCATAGCTCGGCTGAGAGGCAGGGTCAGTCGTGGCTCTTCCTTAGGGAAAGGCAATCAGGAAACGGAGATAGGAAAAGGGCTATAAAAGATAAGCCAACAGAGCCGGGATCCTAGGGAACCTAAATGCCTCGCCTTGCGTATGTCCTGGGAATTCTTTGGCTTATGCAGAACTAGGCAAAATGGCAACCGAGGAAGAGACAGATAACCGTAAGAGTGAAGGAGAACCAGGCTTAGGAGGCAGTGCCGCACAAAGTGAAGGGCGGCAGAAGGACAGAGAATCGATAAATCCGGATGGTACCAAAGGGAACCGAAATGAAATCTCCACAGGAAAAAGCTCGGGGAAAGTCGAGGGAAGCAGGCAAGGGACTCAGGAGACCAAGGAAGGCAGAAAATAAGGATAGGACAAACCCCCGAAACTCAGAAGGAGTCATGTCTAAGAAAGTAAGGGTCACAGATGCAAGGCGCAAACTAGCCGAGATAGAAAAGAGGACCGCGGAATACAAGGCAAGATTGATTGAGGAAATGATGACTGGGAACGAAGAAGGCCCTCTGCAGGAGGAACCCCGGGATGAACGGAAAGCCAGTTGAGGTGGGATTGGACAAGGGGATAAAGGTAGTGACCGTGGAGGAACGTCGAGCAAGAGAAGGAAAGAGAGAGAGAACTCTCCGGGCATGGAAGCAGAAAAGGCTACGACTCCGCCAACCATGGATAGTAGGGCTAGCCGCCTGCCGACCCCGCCAGCAATAGCACGAGGATGTGAAGGACTTTGGAGCCTTAGGGAAAGAGTGTTGGGATGGTTTGACCCGGAAGGAACTATGAAAACCAGGGAGGGACAGAAGGTCGGCAAGGAAGGTCCGGATAACAGTATGGCAGGCGAAACCAGCAGCTCCGAGGGCGTCCTTAAGAAGATAGTGTCGTCCCTCACACGAGCACTAAACAAAAATCAAGGCTACCTAGTTGATGCTAAGAAAAAGTTGACGTTTGATGAGGCGAACATCACGAAATTCCTGATAGATTACGAGAATCTGGCTGCGTTGTTGAAATGGACCGAAGAAGAGAAGATGTACCACTTGGGGCAGCATGTGTCTTTGAGCCTAGGGCAGGACATAATGGTCATTGTGGCCGCGAGCCGGTCCGAGAAAGAAACCCGAGATGTGATGATGAGAAAATATCTGGCAGCAGAGAAGATGGCAACGGAGGTCGATTTAGCGGCAGTCCGGAGGAAGAACTTCGCAACGTACAATGACTTCCTACGAGAGTTTACTTTGGTAGCACTAAGAATCCCCGGGGTTATGGAACGAATAATGAGTAAGTACTTCCTCAGACAGTTCTCCGAGTTCGACAAGGACAAGATTCTGTCAGCTTACCAACAGACGAGCAAATTTGTAAATACTAGGGGCGTTGATTTCAGTACAGTAACGGATCTGGCCGAAAAGACGGTAGTGACGGAGACATTGGCTTTGCTTAAGGAAGGGGAGGTCATAGATCTGACCGGTAGAACAGGCGACAAGGTAAAGAAGGGGATTGAAAGTCTACATGACCGGGTGCACGGGGTCGACAATAAGATTGAAAGGATGGAGGGCGCGCTACTGGTTATGCAGCCGCACGTATCCCGGCCCGCCCTCCCTCCCCAGGAAGCTGTGGTTCCGCCAGGTGTAGCCAACCAGGGATTCGGACGGAGAGATCTTGCTAACGAGCAATGCAAGTACTGTATCGCGATGGGACATTATGTGCGCGCGTGTCCAATGCTCAACCATGATATCCTAAAAAGGAGATGTACCAGGTCGTTAAAGGGAGAGATATTCGGACCACAGGGAGAGCGGGTGAATTGAAACTCACCAGGGGGAATGTGACGAGCCGTTATCATGCTCAATGGGTTAGAGATAGCGGCCGTAGAAGCTGAGCCGATGGTCGATATCGTTAGGGATCAACTGCGGGGCCGCGGGCCGCAGACCAACTTTATTTTGGAAAACGACGGACATGATAGGGTGAACGTCACCACTGGACTAGGAACGATCGGGAGAAGGATTAACCGTGACACCATTATGGAGGAGGTCGCCGGAAGCTCCGAACCCCAAGCAGAGCCCGAGGCCGAGGAACCAGAGAAAGTCTATAGAAAGTCTAGGGAAGAGGAGCCTGCAGACAAAGTTACCGCCGCTAAGAAGAAGTTTCGGTATCAAATTCCGATATTTACCTTGCCTGAGCTCGACGACACCATTAGCACATTACTAGGGACCATGGTGTCAGTGTCTTTTAAGACCATGCTGCAAGCTAGCCCTAGGTTGCTCAAAGGGTTTAGACAACTGTTGACTCGGCGACGAGTATAAATAGGCGAGAACCCCGAATTACCAGAAGGGGAGAGGGAGGAGGAAGCTCCACAAGAAGTGGCTAACCTTCAGAGGAGCCACGGGGACTTGGAGGATCTCGAAAAAGCCTTTGCAGACATTTGTTTGAGCTTGCCCGACCGAGAGGGCGGCGAAGTCATGAGATCACCACCCGGGACAAAGCTTAGCTTCCATGCACTGCCCGTAGGGAAACTAAAAATCCAGATCGGAACTCATCATACTGACGCGTTAGTAGACAGGGGAGCAGAAATCACTCTCATAAGGCGATATTTCGCAACGATCACGGGATGTACGGTAAACAAGGAAGTAACAGGGAGCATCCGGGGAGCTGGCGGGGAAATCCTGTTCGCTGGGTACGTCACGAAGTGTGCTGTAAAGGCAGGAGTCAGAGAATCGATCTGGTCGTTTCAGCGGATGACCGTAATGGAGGAAATGGACCACGACATAATCCTCGGGAGACCGTGGTGTGCGAACGTGGAGATGAAAGGCATGCACTTGCACGATGGCACATACATGGTAGACATAGAGGACCCTGTGACCGGTCGGGGAGAGCTCCTCCGACTCCTTGGAACGGGAGGAGACCCCCCGAAGGGGAAATTGGCAACAAGGTCGCCGTCGTTCGAGGATAGCACGCGAAAAAAGGGTTTTCGCACGGATGGAGGGTATGAGAGAAAGGGTAGAAATCATAATTGAGGAAGCATTCAACAAGGAGTGGATCAAGATGGGCCTGCCCCAGAAGAAGAGGAGGCAGGAGGACGAAGTCCTAGGTGTTATGGTAGCGGAAAAGGAGTCAGAGGTCGAACTTGGTGCTAGCCTGCCCAAACGGAAAGAAGTACGCATARACGTGTCAGAAATCGCACTCGAGATCCCCGATCTATTACAACTCATCAAGGCCCTCAGATACCACAAGGTAGGAGTGGATTCGGCAGCCTTGGCCAAGTTCGAAAGAGAGTTGCAAAAGGGATATTGCCTGAATGGGAAACTAGTTAGTATTCAACCACGAGTCGTAGAGGCGACGGGGACGATTCCGGCTGTTCATTTTTTAGGAGAAAGATCCCGGAAGGAAGTGTTCGAAAGTACAAGTCGGTAGGGAAGAAAGCAAAACCGGTCTCGAGTGATCCGAGAAAGAGGCTATGGAGAAGGAGGAAGAGTTCCTTCGAGTGATCCGAGAAAGAAGGGCGACGGAGAGAAATTATATACAAGATGAGGTAGCTGACACAATGAAGATAGGGATAGACGGGTTCTTAACGGAAGAAGAAACCCGCCTGATCAAAAGGACCTACCAGGAGTTTCACCTGCCATTTGCCTTTAGTGATCACCAGAAGGGACGACTGGATGCAAAGTTGATCCCTCCGGTTAGAATCCACACGGTAGAATATGAGTGCTGGAATGACAAGGGACCATCCAATGAATTTGGGATAGCAGGAGAAGTAACAGACCTCCTCCGAGCAAAGATGGACTCCTTCATTGTGGAGCCTACAGCATCACCATACGCAAATCGGTGGTTCGTCTTTCGGAAGCCTAACAAGACACTAAGGTGGATTCAGGACCTGCAGAAGTTGAATGCGGTAACCATTCGGGATGCTGACTCGCTACCTCAGGCTGACTTATTAGCAGAATCGTACGCCGGTCGGAGCATTTACTCCCTGATAGACTTGTACTCAGGGTACGACCAACTTCCGTTGGATGTTCATGACAGGCCATACACCGCTATGCACACCCTCGTAGGCCAACTACAGACGCAAGTGACCCCTATGGGATTCATAAACGCGGTGGTCGAAGTGCAACGCAGGATGCTCGCCGTGGCCGGGGATATGTTCCCAGAAAAATGTGAGCCTTACATCGATGACAATTCGATCAAAGGCGCGCAGGAGAAGGACGAGACGGAAGTCCGGCCAGGAATCCGACGTTTTGAGTGGGACCACCTGCAGGACATCAAGGACTTACTCCGCCGGTTCCTGGTATACAACATTACGGCTAGTGGACCAAAGAGTATCGTAGCAGTACCGGAGGTAACTATACTAGGATTTCGTTGTGGTGCTTACGACAGGAAGCCGGATCCGGCAGAGACCGACAAGATATCACAGTGGCTGACACCACTGCGCACGACGACGGAGGTAAGAGCGTTCCTCGGCGTAGTCGGCTTTTGGAGGATCTTCATTAAGAACTTTGCCAAGATTGCGGAGCCTATCCGGGCTATGATCAGGGAAGAAGGAACCATGGATTGGACGGAGGAGCGAGAAGGAGTTGTCCAAAGGCTCAAGGACATATTCACATTTGAGACAGTCGCCCTGTCCGCGCCTTGTTTTAATGACGAAGTGGGACAACCCTTCATCCTAGAGACGGATGGAGGACCTTTGGCCGTAGTAGGTGTGTTGATTCAAAGGGATGAGGGAGGAAAAGAAAGGCCAATTAGGTTTGAGAGTAGAACCCTGAACTTCGCAGAGCGGCGGTACTCACAGTTCAAGAAGGAGGTCCTAGCCATCTTGCACTGTCTTAAGCCCTTTCAGGCCTACCTATTTGGGAGGCGGTTCATCCTCAGGATCGATCCGACGATTGTTGCAGGGGCCTTAAGGAATTACAGGCCTATAGATCCGACGGTAGGGAGATGGGTAGGATTCATCTGGTAGTTCGATTATAAGATCGAACGGATTGCGGGAATTAGGAACAAGGCTGATGGGCTGAGCCGGGTCTGCATCACTCCCGAAGGGGTGGAGGATGCGAAGCCCATAGACGCGTTCCTCGAATACGAAGGAGGAACTCTTGCGGTGGATAACGAAAGGATGAGCGAAGGATGCGGGTCTGGAGAACTATTGATCCAGACTTTGGAGAAGGGGGCACCTGCCGTAGTAGCAGAACTTAGAGAAGGACCAGTCACCACTCGAGGACACAGAGAAGAAAATGACTCATGGAGAGCGATAGTAGGACCGAAAGAGGAGCTAATAGCAATGGCGGTCAAGGGAGGCCGGGAAGCAGTGATGAGCTTAGAGGAATCTTGGGAAAGGAAAGAGTTGCAATGGGTGGTAAATCAGATGCAGGAAGGAAAGGATGGGGGCGAGGAAGGAGAGGAGTTTTTCTATGTCCAATCATATGAAGGGCTCTTTCGGGAGATCGGGCTGTTATTGGTAGGAAACAAACAACCTACGGAAGTCAGTATTAAAGCAAGGGAAGAAGCCGAAAGGTACGTCCTAAGGGGCGGGCATTTGTTCCGAAGGGAGGAAGGTGCTATGCCCAGAAGGGTTGTGTGCGGAAGATCTAGGCAAGAAGATGTTATCCTAGCAATGCACGATGGGTTGGTTGGAGGTCATCGGTCGTCCAAAGGAACGCTTGCAAAGATGATGCCACTCTATTATTGGCCAGGCATGGCAGGCATGGTCGCCATATACTGCCAGACTTGCCTTATTTGCCAAGAACGAAGCTCGGTGCGGGTCTTCGAGCTGCTTAGACCAACGCGGGTGCTAGGGCCGAGACATCTGGTCCACCTCGACCTTGTGGTCATGCCTGTATCAACGGATGGGTACAGGTATATCATGGATGCGCGAGACAACTTGAGTGGGTTCGTGGAGGCGGTCGCCCTCAAGAAAAAGACAAGGAGGAGTGTGGCGGACTGGATAGAAGACTTCTACTTGAGGCATCCGTTCGTCATGAGGTTTATAGCAGACAATGGGATGGAGTTTGTGAACCACGAAGTATTGGGGATGCTTAAGAGACTCTGCGTACCGATCAAACTCATCGAGCCGTATCACCCTGAGGCCAATGCATCTGTGGAAAGGGGGCACCGAACCTTGAAGAACACGATTGCGAAACTCGCAGCGGACCATCTGGGGAGCTGGCCTAGGTATCTTAAGCAGTCTGCCTTTGCGGAGAATATGACCCCTAAAAGGACAACAGGATATATCCCGACGGAACTTTGGTACGGAAGAGAGATCGACTTTCCTGTGGAAGCCTTGGTACCTACCTAGAATAGGTTAGATGATGATCCACAAATGACTACTGAAGAATTAATCGAGGCAAGATGTTAACAGATCCTTAAGAACGAGGAGGTCATGAAAGCCATCGCCAACCGCGTACTAGACAGCAGAATGAGGGACAAAGCAAGGTGGGACCAGGTTAAGAATGTTAGAAAGGAGCCACTTCAAGTGGGAGAGATGATATTGCTAAGGAACTCGACACTAAAAAGTACTTGGTCGGGACGACTGGGAAGAAGGTTTAAAGGCCCCTACCGGATCGCCAAGCGGGTGGGACTGAACACCTTCGAACTGGAAGATTTGCATGGAACTGGATTGAAAGGGCCCTTCCCGGGGCAACGATTGGTCAGGTTTTTAAGTCGGGACCCAGTGGAACAATGGCTCCAGGAGGCTGAAAATAAGGAAACTGAGGAGCCACAAGCTAAAGATTGACCACAGTCTTGCCCACATTATGGTTTGTCTCTGACCATGTCCATGGGACTGTCATTTTAGGGGACTGGGGCAATGGCTTGGACTGACTGAGGTTGAAAGGCAGCATGACTTGGAGTTTTGCAATATCTGGCTTGTGCGACGACGGGAAGGGATGTTTGGGGCATTGTACCATAGTTTTTTACGGAAAAAATGGGATCTTCACAAACGACGCTTTTGCATAAGGGAGGGAAATGTATAAAAGAGTTTGATGCAAAGGATATTGGGAGCATTTTTGGGAAAAGGGAGCTGTCTACCGGACTGGGGGAAATGTGTGTATGCGGGGCATTGCGGATGTTGTTTTGTTATACAGGACCTAGGAGAAAAACGAGAAAAGACAAGAGAATGGAATTCGGCAACGAGAACGACAGCGGGGCGATCAACAGGCCTACCGGAGGGGGGGAAGCCGGACCAAGCAAAGGGAGGAAGACGGCGAAGAGAAAGTTATACATAGGACTCATGGGTGGGCCAGTGCTAGGCAGGGGTGGAAGGAAATGCTTGTGTAGGAAACCCTCACCCCTCCGCAAGAGAGAAGGTATAGAAATCTCGTCTGACAGTGAGGGAGGGAAGGAAAAGACAGAAGTGGAAAAAAGAGGCAATGCAGAGGTGGGAGATAAGGTTCAAGTCTATGACGAGGAAGGAGTCAACAGGGGCAAGTGACGTGAGACTTGGCATAGGGAAAGCGAGAGGGGACAAGACATGCGTGGCGAACCTGAGGAGGGTAAGGAAAGAAGGGAAAACCCGCTTGAAGGACGAAGCGGCCACGACAGTTGTGAGGGGTATGGGACGGGGACAAAGATTTCTTTTACCTACGATCCGAAGAACCTTGCAGGTGGGTATAGCCCCATACAGACAGAAGGCGAGGAGGACGAGGAGGAGGATGTACGAGAAGTCATAGAAATCAGCAGCGGGGATGAGAGGGATGAGATCTCGAGACCTAGGGAAGGGGGGCGGCCTCCGATGCACCAGCCGGGCGACGGGGCTTTCAGATGGGAGGACGAGTTTGGACCAACACCCAGTCATTGGTTTCAACAGTGGCCCAATGTGATCAGGCACGAATGGATTGTTAAGACTCGGGAACTCGCAAGGGCAGGGGTGGAAGCCACACCACGGGATTTTTTTAGCGACGCAGAGTTACGGAAAATTGTAAGGATAAGGAGAGAAATCGAGACCTTTGGCCTGGGGGTTAGACAGCCAGCTGAGGAACAGGGTGGACCAAGAAACGAGCAAGTCGAGGCACAGGACAGCAATGGGCATTAGATGTTGATTGAGTGTTGGGCAAGAATCTTGGTTTTAATTCTCAATTGCAAAACATTGGAGCAGAATGTGTGTAATATGAGTAAGCTTGCAAAGGATGAGTGATGGAAGGGCCAGCTAAGACTATGTCGTGATAACATTAGAAGATAGCGTATTGAGGCTACTTTTGGATGAGCTACCTTTGAAAGTGGGTACACAAGACAAGGACATGGGGCATGGAATGAGACCAGTTGGGAAGGGTGTATTGTGAAATTTGGATGAAATGAGGATTGTGCTTTTTTAGGAAAGAAATTTTTAGTACGGATTGACGAGCAAAGCAAGACATTGAACGTTGGTCAAGAGAGGTTAGGGAACCTATGGGTTAAGGGGCGTGAAGAACACTCCTTCCCTAGGAGCCTAATCCAACTAAGTCATGAAGGAGTCTGAGAATAGCCAAAACCTGAGTGATGAGGAAGAGTGAAAATGGAAGGGGCGCCCCTGTCTCTTGCTATGGTTGAACGGTCGGGTGAGCTAGTGCTGCTTGGGGTCGCGAGCCCCAACTCGAAGTGCTAGACGCTAAGTCGGATATATGCATGGATAGTACATTACTGTGAGAAATGGAATGGATAGTACATTACTGTGAAAAATGGAAGAAAGGGAACAGCACGCAAAACAAAACTGAGATGAGATGGCCACCTTCGAACCTCCAAGACAGAAATGAGATCCGTAACTTCGAGGCCCACCCTCTTGGGCACTAACATTGAGAATCGAAAGGAATAGCCCTAACCAGGCTGTTCGACTTGAGAATGGAAAAGGAATGACCCTAACCAGGCTGTTCGACTTGAGAATGGAAAAGAATGGCCCTAACCAGGCTGTTCGACTTGAGAATGGAAAAGAACGGTCCTAACCAGGTTGTTCAATTTGAGAATGAATAAGAACGACCCTAACCAGGTTGTTCGGGAATGGCCCCTGACAAGGGTCACTCCTTTTGAAATAGGCACTAGGTCCCCTGCATATTGGATTGAGAAAGGTTGATTGAAAAAGGTTGATTGAGAATGTGCTGGAATGAGCAATAAGAGATGGAAAAGGCCGGTGGGTCGGTCCTTGAAATAGCCAATGGATGGATGAAAGAGATGGAAAAGGTCGGTGGGTCGGCTGCTAAAATAGCCAAGGGGGCGGAATAAAAAGTTGAATAAGAAGGACAGGATAAAGAAGGCGTAACCCTAAAGCCAAGAAGGGCAGGGACCGTTGGGACGGTCAAAGAGATTGGGTGTTGAGGAATGAGAGAATTGAGGATTGAATGGCCAGAAGGGTCAGTCTTGAGAAATGGCTATTTAGAGAATGACCGCCAGACCGGCCATATGGGTGGCCTTGTTGATGAGAGGCTGTCGGACCAGCCATGAGAATCAGCCTTGGAAATAGCATGGGATTGAGTGTTTGAAGATTGAATATTGCATTGCATAGCCAGGGGACCCTAGGCAACTTGATGTAAGGTCGCCGGACCGACCATGGAAATAGCAAGAGATTAAGCTTTCCTTTTTTTCTAGTCTCAGATCTCAACATAAGGGGGATAGCAATATCTGCATCTCAACCCCAAGACCTCTACCCGTTAAGGGAAAAGTCTCAGCGCGACCTGCTCCTCATAAGAAGGAATAAGGGTTGAAGGACCAAAGCATCTCTCTCTTTGATTGATGTTGGTCGTCCGGAACTAACCCCGACAACGAGCTCTAGTCGGGAAGTTCAAACTGCGTCTCATGTTGAAACCTAAACGTCAAGGGCGTGGTGCCAAACAGGCGAGAGAGCCATTTTTTTTCCTAAGTCTCATTCTTTCTCCCCAACCACACGCCATGCCGTAGAGGGGCGGCCCGACCGTTTGGAATGGACCAAGGTTGCTCGCGTTAAGTTGAGCAGCACTGTCCAGAGGGAGGAATCGGGCGTGGTACTGGGTGGAAGCCGCAACCACCACAGGGCAAGTGACACCGCCCTGCCGGATCATTACAACCGTTCCGAGACTAACCACGAGGTCTTCGTAACTGCACTCGCAGACTAATAAAGAGCCCCAACTTTCTTGAAAAGAAGAGGCCGGATCCAAGAAAACACCGCTCGGGAGGAACAATTCGCGAGAAGGCACTTACGGCAAGATGGGGTCCTGGGAGGCTTGGATTGGACCTCCCTTCCAGATGTGGGGTGGTACCTCAGTGATGACGCCCGTCTCGTAAGTAGCAAAAGGTCGGACTGGAATAGGGGATGAGGTGAGTTATCAGCAGGGGGAGGACTGATCACCCATCCTTTTCGGGGCTGATGGGCCGGCATCCGTCTACTCAGTTGGTGGGCTAAGGTCTGCATACCTCCGAGTGTGAACTAGTCGTGCGATGGGGACATCGCATTTTGAGTGGGGGGAAGGTGTGTCATCTACCACAGAAAAAGCGTGCAAAAGAGAAGGATACGATGAGCGTAAGGATGAATGAGTAATTGACTTTACGCAGGCTTGAGAAAAGGCCTGGCAAGATGTCCAGAAGAGAAACGGATGAATAATTGACGTTGCATGAGCTTGAGAAAAGGTCTGGCAAGATGTCCAGAAGAGAAACGGGTGAGAAATTGACGTTGCATGAGCTTGAGAAAAAGCCTGGCAAGGTGTCCAGCTAAGGAAAAGATGTGTGAATGACTCCTCATGAGCTTGAGAAGAGACCTGGCGAGATGTCCAGGAGAGAAATGGATGAGTATTTGATCTAGCAGGGCAGGATGTTCAGAAAAGAAAAATATGTGAAATTGGCTTTGCGTAGACTTAAGGAAAAGTCTGGCAAGACGCCCAGAAAAGAGATACAGGTATAATGGACTTTGCATGAGTATGAGAGAGGCCTGGCAAGAGGCCAGAAGAAAGATGTGAACAAGAGGGACTGAGTAACGCGCATTTTAAAGCCTGGATACGAGAAAGGACGAATGAGGATGACGCACATAAGCCGGGCAAAAAGACATGGGAAAAATACATGGGAACTGACTAAGCATGAGACTGAGGAAAGAATGACGAGAGAACATGGATTGCACGGGCCGAAAAGTAGATTATTTTTTTATGACCCTAAGAGTAATGAATGAGGCGAAACCGAAATGGTTTCTGCTCGAAAATGTTTTCTCAACGAAATGGGAAGATAGATTTGAGATTACGAAGCACTTAAGAGGAATTGTGCCTGGGCTAACTGATTCGAAGTGAGTATCACCACATCAAAAGTGGCGGTTGTACTGGACGAACATCCCCCTTCCAGAGCAAATGCTTGATAATGAGTCACATCCGAAAACTTGCCTACAATTTGTTATCAACAATGCTAAGGCGTAAAATGAGAAAACCAATTGTGTTATGACAACAA